TCTCTCTCTCTCTCTCTCTCTCTCTCTCTCTCTCTCTCTCTCTCTCTCTCTCTCTCTCTCTCTCTCTCTCTCATGCACACACACACACACACACAAAATCAGTTTTATGTGTTTGTCTTTCTCCTTTTTGTATGTTTTCTTCCTATTTTCTCTAACTTTTTGTATGTCCAGCTGAGCACCTCTAAGCAGTGCGAAACAATCGGTCACTCATCGTTTGGAGTGCCTGCAGCACTCTTAGGGGGGATGCTGAGTTCGGAATACGTGTGTTTCCTGCGGGTGAGGACAGATGTTCGCCTGGGTGTCTCCCTGGCTCCGCGGGTAGTGCAAACCAACAGTCTGTGGGGTTCACCCGTGATGTGAGTAGGTGACGTGCCACTTTGCTCGGTGTTGGATGTGTAGACTGCCTTGCCTTGTCTGCATTTCACTGCTGCCTTCCTGCCCGTCCCGCTTGTTTCGCACGTCAGTCGTTGCGGGTTGCTGTGTTTGCTGTGTGCTCTGAGCGCAGTGTTGGTGTTGCCCGGTGCTTCACTGCATTGCTACCTTGCCGGCCATTCGCATGCCGTGTCTCCCGTGTTCCCTGCTTATGTGCCCTGTAGTCTGGCTGCTGTGTTGGTGTTGCGTTGTGCTTTGCTGCACTGTCGCCTTGTTGCTCAGCTGCTTGCCCTGTCGTTCCTTGCAGTAGTCTTTGGCGGTGTGCAGTTGGGCTGCACCCGCAGCGTTGCCTGGTGCTTCGTTGAGTTGTTGCCTGCTGCTGTGTGTGTGGCTGCCTTGTTGGTGTTGCCTTGTGCTTCACTGCATGGCTGCATTGCTGCTCGTCTGCTTTCCATGTCGTTCCTCGCAGAAGTCTTTTGTGTTGTGCAGTTTGGTTGCTCCGGCAGCGTTGCCGGGTGCTTCACTGAGTTGTTACCTGACTGTCTGTCTTCAATGAGGGTCAAAGGGTTCATGACCCACACCATCAATATAGGCATTCCGCAGGTTGTCGAGGGTTCAGCCTCCAGATGAGTCAGTGTAACTCTGACAAAACAATCTTTTTATCATCAGTTTCTATTTTTCTCGCTCTTGTGTTTTTTTGTTGTTGACAATTTCTTTCAGTGTGGCTCGTGTGGTTTGTGCTTTCTTCCTGTGGCTGCCTTGTGTTGTTTGCTTGCCCACCCGCCTCCCCCTTGCCCACCAGCCTATGCGCTGCAACCGCTTCTCATTCAGTGTCTTGTCGGTGTGTCGCCCTTTGCCTCACTGCTTTATCTTCCCTTGCTGCTCTTTGGTCCGTTGGTTGTCTGTTGCCTTGTTCCTTCTTTTTCCTTGGCCAACTTGTTGCTTCGGGTTGCATTTTTCCTTGCGGTCTAGTGGCCTAGGGCCCTCGGGCACTAGTCCTTGACTCCTTATGTCTTTGTAGGGTTGTGAAAGATAGAAGCCGCTATATGGACATACTCCTTCGCTTTCTTGTTGGGGATGCCGGTGCCTTATAATCTATAAACACATTTGCCATACGATGCGGATCGCATAATGTCCTGGTATGAATTTTGATCACTATCTTAAAAGTTAAAACACAGCTCGCTGCGATTCACGCCACAGTGGCTTTTTTCTTTTCTTTTTTTTTAATTAAAAGTTTAAAACAGAACCTTATGGTTCTGGCTCCTTATCCATTCTGCTGAGCATCAGTCCGGTTCCTATTCGACCGGCAAGTCAGAAGTCACTCACACTCCTCCACCTTATGGTATGAAGGCCCGAAGGATAGCCTTGATTACTTCCTGATGGAAGGATGTACCCCTTTTCACCCCTGCCTAAGTTAGCATGTACTAGATTACCTCTATCCTTGGGTAATAGTCAGATTGCCTATTCTCTTTGGTACTTGTAACTAACCTCCTTGGGCGCTAACCAGCCTGTTCCTCTCAGCCCCTTGGCTGTCGGATTTTTTATTATTATTATTTTTATTATTATTTTTTTTTACAGAACCTCTCGGTTCCAGCTCCTGCCATTCTGGGGAGCAACAGTCCGGTTCCTATTCCCCCGGCAAGTCAAAATTGAATACAATAACCACTCACACACGCTCCTCCCCATTCCGGTTGAGAGGCCCGAGTGGGCGGCATTGATTACTTCCCTTGGGAAGGATATACCGCCCCTCACCCCTGCCTAAGTTAGCCTTCTTGACTTAAGTTAACCGTTATGAGCTCACTCCTCTCGGCTACACTGCTGTGCTAGACTTGTATACAGGCTGGCTTACTCCTCTCAGCTACCTTGCTGTCTGATCCGGACTTTGAGAGCTGGAGATGCTTGCCTGTTTCGTGTACTGAAGGATCCGCTGCTGAAGGTGGTATTCACTGTCTGGTCCTTAAACCAGCAGGCCCTCTCCTCTTTTCTTACCACCACCACCACCTTCAGATCAGAGTGCACCATCAGTTCCATACCACTGCAGGTCTACCATTGCTAACTGATGGGGCGGAAAGGGATCCGGAAACTCGGTGGCTGGTCGCAGCGGAAACTCCTGGCCTACTACTGTCCAGTCTTTGAAGCAGATACTGTAGTCCCTTCTAAACCCTCCCTGGTGGTCCCCCTGGGTAGGTCGGCCTTCCCATCGTACGGAGGCAATCCAGCCCCCCTTTTCGCTGCCCAACCAGTCTCTTGAGAATTGCTGAATCAATTGTGTTATGTCCTTGGCTGAGTGAAACAGATCCAATTGGTTCTTTATTCTTTGCCACTGTACCATTAATTCTTGTTGGACATATTGTTTCATACGGGCGCCCTCTATAGCGTATGTGCATCGTTTCCTCCAGAGGGCCCACATGACAGCTCGCCTTCCTATTTTAAACATGGTGTTTTCGAAAGGGCTATCCGTGGGGGAGGACCAGGTTTCGCACAGCAGGGCTCTCCAGTCCCAAGGCCATTTTGACCCAGTGTCTAGACGGGACCAGATTCTATCCCACCATCGCCATGTGAGGACAGCACCCGGACATTGCATGAATATGTGCTCAATCGTTTCCGGGATTCTGCAGGAGGGGAAGACGGTGTGGCACGCTTTGCACCACGGCAACGCCTGTCCTCTCTGCTCCAGCCGGGTCCGATCGATCAACCAGTCATGAGTGGGTAGGCAACGATGTTCTATCTGCCACTGCAGTGAGGCCATCTTTGCTGGCCTGGCTCTGGTGGCAGCGAACCAACGGATAGGACGGATCACCTCCGCTCCTACATTTAGTTGTGATCTCCATCTCTCTTTTACCTTGTCCTTTATGTTCACTTTGGGGCGTAGCAGGCGGTAYGCTGCCTTCACAGTCAGGTTTTGTAGCTTTGTCTTCTCCCGGACTCTGCTTGGCCGTGATTGTGACCACTGCCATTCGTCGGGGTCGAGGGGGAGGTCAACCAATGGGGTCTTTGGCTGGTATGCAGTCCATACCTCCTTATCCCGTAGCACCCGGATTCTTTGTAAATCCTTGCTTTTTCTCCATCTCACTACATCCGGGGAGTATCGGGTAAGGACATTATCTTTGCCTATGTGATACAGATTCATCAGYGTTTCATCCGACCGCACATCCACCACATTWCCCACACTTTCTGGGTCRTCTGGTACAGTTACCCAGTCCCCTTCTTCCAGTCGTGGTCCTTTGCGYAGAATGCGCACCCAGTCCAGGGGAATCCCGAATATCAATGTCTCAAGGTTGTTCTCAATATTATGACAATATTTTAGTGTCTCTCTCAGTTGCTGCACTGTTTTCCAGTCCCTCGTCTCTGAGTTCCAAATATCTTTTATTCGCATGACACCTTTTTTGACCCAGCTACACCACGGGGTGGCCGAGCTACAATACACCCTGCTGTATCGATCGGTGATCCTCCTATTGCCAAACAGGGGTTGGCGCATCACTTCCTCCCACCTCGAAGGGGGGGGGTGTCCGGCAGAGGGAGATGGCGCCAGGCTTTCAGAATCCTGGCCCAGAAGTCATCCCGGGCCAAATCCGTCCGGATTGTGCCTTGAGTCTGATCAGCACTGCCTCGAGTTCTCCTTGGCACCGTCCAAAAGGGGTCTTCTAGCCAGGTCAAAGGGTGAGTATTTTTTGGGGCTTGTGGGGCAAGTCTGGCCATTTGTTCTAGTGCCAGGGCGCGCCATGGAAGTTGTTCCAAGAGCAGCCTCTTCACCCATTGCAGCATTAATGCCGTGACCTGAGTTTCCGGGTCAAGAATTCCCAGCCCCCCTCTAGTTTTAGGTTGGATCACCGAGGACCAGGCTACCTTACTGATAACATTCGCAAGCTCACCATTGCCTCGCCACAGTAGGGCTGCTACCTAACGCTTCAATGATCGGATGGCTGTCTTGCTGAGAGCCCAGATTGCAGATTTGTACCAAAGGGCCGCCAGCACCACGCTGTTGGTCGCTAGCGCCCTACCGAATAGGGAGGTGTGTTGGTCTTTCCAGTTGGCCAACTTTTCTAAGGCGGATTTCAATATCCACTCATCATTCGATGTTGGCTTGCCTAGGGCTTTTAGCATGATTCCAAGCACCCTAACCGGGGCCTCTTCGGGAAGCCATTTAACCCGTGGAAGTTCCAGGGGGCGCACCCCTTGATGGTGGATCCACCAACCCAAAGTTTTATTTCCCCAGTTGACCGTCATGTCGAAAATTGC